TGTACACCCTTCCCTTAAGAGACAGTCGGATGTCATGGCGGCGCCACAGGTGTCGCAGGTTGACGAAAGCTGCTCTAGCTTTCGCTATTCGTGATGTGATCTTGTTCCCGACACCACCACCAGCCCCCGAGGTACTTAGAGCTCTCGACCACTTCTAGCTGATCACCACGGATGGTGAGTGCAGGCACAGGCTCCTGCCAGTCTTGTACCAGCACTTTGCATTTTGATGATGCAAAGCACATACCATACCTGGATACCTCTATCGCCACGCGGTTCAAAGCGTTTTGCACTGCCTGTGTGTTGTCACCAAGTAAGGTGATGTCATCGGCATATTCTAAGTCAAGGACTCTGCTCCCTGGTAGGAGTTCAACTCCACCGTTTGCTAGACCGGACAAAGCATTCTGTAGAACATCCTCTATGACAAGGTTGAAAAGGAATGGGTATATGGGGCAGCCTTGTCGAGACGGCAAAGGGTGGCGAAAGCTGGTCATAGGCCCTAACCCGACCTGAGGTATGACGATACAACTCTTTGAGGATCGACACACTTCTCAGGTACTCCATTCCTCAACAAACAGTTCCATAATGCGGTCCTATCGACAGTGTTGAAGGCCGCGCGGATATCTAAGAATACAATGATCGTTGGTCTTTGATAAGCACGACGGTGTGCCTCGTGATAGGTAGGAAAACCAGGCTGGTCTGTATCCATCTCTTTGTATGATGATAAAATCCATCCCATTGGGAATAGCCCTGTCCTGAGATTGTGGCATAGTATCGTCAAGCTCGTCTGCCCTCCAAATGTCTGATATATCGCGACTAATAGGGTCCGGACTCTTGTCCCATCCCACGCTCCTATGACCGCGGGGTACTCAGTAACAGGGTCTCGTAGTCTGTTTGCTAGAATAGAATTTTAATATTCCGGACGATCGAAGCAGCAGTCCGGCCCGGAAGCATCTGGCATGAAACGATTTGTGAACATTTGTGATTTTTGTTCCGATTTTTTTTTAAGCCTCACAACAGAATTTTGTCCCCAATATCGAATTCGGCCTCGGTAATTGGTGATTTTATGAATGTTTGTAGTATGATAGTGCTTTAAGATGTTTTCACTGGTGTGCTTTGGGCTCGAGGGTCTTCAATTCAAATTACGCCATCGTCACCATTGTCCAAAGCGATACCATAGCTATCCTATTCTTTAGTGCCTTGTGCTGGTAGCCACTTTAAGCTCCATAGCTTCAGTTTCTGCTGTTGCTCCTATGAGTGACTGCGGGGTTCATCCCTTGTGCGGTTCTTCACACAGCGGTGTGTAATAAAATGAATATTAATTTTCTTGGTAAGCTATTTTCTGAATCGGCTGGTTATCGATGGGAGTCTAACCTTGATTTGGTTGTTGTGAGGCTTGATACGTTTAGCCGCTGAAACACACTGTATCCAAGTTTTATGTGTTCTTCTTATCATAACCTAATGTTGCGGCTGTTGCAGCTGGTGCTCATGTACTATCCTTATTTATTCCCTTCCTTTTCACTAACTTTTTTAATTTGGTTTACTCACTCATTTTCGATCGAATAATGTTATGAGGAATAAGTAACGCTATCAGTTGTGTGAACTTGTAAATATCCTTCTTCTTCTCCGTTCACAGGATGGTTGTCTAACTATTGCGAAACGAGTTTTTCTTCTTATGTATACCCTTCTTTTGTCATGATATTTGCTTGATAAATTGGTGTTCGTAACTTCTTCCATCTGCCGCACTCAATGAGGTTCGACTTGAAGCACAATGGAATTTCAGGTGAATGCGATCTTCTATCGGGATTCTTGAGCATTCCAAAATAGCTTGTATCCGTTCTCCACCAAGCTATAATTCCATAGTAAATGATAGATTCTCGCAAACATGACTGATATACCTTTGACGTACATTTTCTGTTGTTACCCTTCATCTTTCCCATAGCTTCTATCCACTTCGCCCCACTTCATCCGCCTGGCTGTATTGGACCCATGTATTATGCCTGCATCGGACAAACTGGGTCAAACTAATGAACCACTTTTTGATCCAGACAGTGACTCAGCTAAGCTGGGCATCGCTCTACGTCGTGTCGGTTGGGCAAGCTATGTCGCGCAATCCCGAGATGAATCTGACGCATTAATTGAAATCGATTTGGAAGCAATTCGCTCCCGCCTGTTAACACAAGCCATTGAAGCCCAGGCACCGGAGGAATTGCTCGACTGTCTCCGCCTGTCTCGTGTGTTGCCTGATCCCATGCGACGTCTACTCACAGATCGTGTCCGATCCACCGGGTCCGTTCTGTCCACATTGCTCAAAAACAGTCCATCACGAGTTTACTCAAAGGGTGTATTGCGTCGTCACTTAGTCTTGGCAGCTCGTCTGATAGATGAGCTGGATAGGGCCAGGGGCTTATGGTCTCCTAGGGATAGAAATTCGGAGACAACAAAAACAACCGAAACGCAGGTCGTTGTGGACTCGGAATCAACCGATACCGGCAAACCAATGGATGCGAGCCCACCACCAGAGATGCAACGAACAACGGCCGACCTGGAGGAAATAGGTTAGTTCTTTTAAACCGGCATTGGCATGAACCAGAGAGTATCATTGGGTTATTTCCCTTGTTACTGGTTGGTTTGTGCTACTGAAATGCTTGTGTTTATGCTTGACCAAATTTCTTGCTCTTCATCACCCCATCTTTTTATATACACTGTCGCTGGTTTAGTGAACGGTATTTACGAAGAAGAATCCATTTCTGCCTTGTGTTTCAAAACCCTACTATACAGTCTCTGTTTTCATAGCCTTCAGTGAAAACCGTGTTGGTCAATTTCACTCTCCGTTGATTTTGACCAACTGAATAGTGAACAGACAAGTCAGAAGACAAACACTGCGAGAGGAATTCCTTTCGTATACTCTCATCGGTACCGTACGTATAACATCGAACAAGGTAGACAAATGAAGCGAATTAAGAAATCTAGTTAGTATTACCCATGTGTGTGTGATTGTGTACAGTGTGTGATGCACGTGATTGGTTACAGCCAGAGAAGGCCAAGGGTAAAGGTCAACTGAATAGTAGTGTTTAGATGCAGGACATGACAGTATAAATTGTTCTTTTTAATCTTCATCTTCGTACGATTTGAAACCATAACAATGGTGGTTGTAGACACACCAGTCGTGTTCCGACAGATAGACCAGTCCGATTTCTGCGACGCTGTTCACAACTACTATGACATTGTAATGCCCTTTGAACTTAACAACATCAAACTGGCGGGCTAGAGGAAACCACATGGAGGTCAACAGATGTCATGAAGATGAGGCATGAAAGAATAGAGTAGAGTTGTTGTCTCTGGTCTTCGTGGCTGGGATCCAAAAGACACTGAACACTGTGGCAACGAACCGATAGCAGTGGCTTTCCTTTTGTCATTTGTAATCCTTTTTGTTCGGCAAACAAGAATACCAGAATTTTGGCTTTCTCAATAGGTCAAGTTTCCCTCCGGTTTATTCTGACTTTTTCTCGTCTGATCTGTACCACACGGTCGATTGTACCGGGTATCGGCGCTTCCAGCTAACCACTGACTCAATGCCGTCACTATATCGCTCCCAACTCCCTGCCCTCACCAGTTTCGGCGGCAGCACACCGTTTCAATTCATGAAACAATTAACCACTTTCTCGCTGTGGTTTCGTTTACTGATCATTCTAATGGAATAAGGAGAATGCGTACAAAAGTGGAAGCAGTACTAGGGTAAAGGAACGGAATACAGTACAACTAGATTTACTGTAAAATAGAGTAGATGCAGAAGAGCCACTGCTTACGATCTTGGTTTGATCATCCTTCAATTCTTTCTACCCACTACCTATCTCGGCAAACATCGCACGCCGGGGGAGCCCATCTGGTGTTATGTGTAACACATCTCTCAGTCATCCTAATCCACGGAGGTCAAGCAGTTGCTCCAATCTGTGACCGTTATTACCTAAAACTTTGTGTCTGACCTCGGCAATACATACTTGATCACCATTTTATTAATCCTGAAAAGGTTTCTTGTTGCTGTTGTTGATAGAGTTTGTTTTGTGTGATTCTCACGTCGTGATCCCTGACGAGCGAATCTGTTCTCGTGTGGAGCTCGTGTGTTGTCTTCCTAAGCATCTCTAGTAACATTGTTGTCGAACTCACGAGGGGAATGTTCACTGAAGCAAGCAGGATGTGAATATTCTATATCGTTAAATGCATTACACTGATGAAACTAGAGTAGTGTCCTACAGTGGGAGGTGAAAGAAGTATTGTTATACACACGATGAGGCTGTTTCGATGATGTTTTACACCCTATTCATTTTCGATACTTTTTGTCTTCATGTTGTTTCTTTGGAACGGTTGAAAACAGAGTCACGGAGGTTCAAGATAAACTTGGGTTATCTTCGCAATGGTGGTTTTAGTTACGGATCATATCACCTCGAGTTTCTAATGAGTGACCATTGTCATCTTGCCCGTTATTCGGTAAGGATCATTGGTGCGTTGAACATATTCTTACTCCTACGCCAAGTTATTATTTGGCCGCTGTGACCTGCATCCCAGTCCTACTCAGAAGTCACAAACGCCGGTCAACACAGAAGGCGATCCACCGGGGTGTTACCTTACCATAGTTTCACTATTAACGTATGCCACCCTGTTAACCCTTTGTGTGGAGTTTACCCACATGGTATCTCCTTTTTCCCGTCGCTCGATCTTCTCTTGTTCTCAGATGACATGGATGATGAGGGTACGGAGAGCAAATCACAGGATAAACGTGATCGAATTACTTCAATCGATGAACCTGCTGTAACAGCCGCAGTCGCGGAACAAACCTCCTCCTCGATCGATCCGGGTGAAGATTTGGTCATCGCGGCAACTATGCTAAGCTCAGTTGTTAGCAAAAATCCTCTACTGAACGGACTGACTGATTACCTGGTCGATGAGGGCAACGCGGAAGAGGAGCTGCTTCTTTCCGGTATGTTTTCATGTTCACGAGTATCGGTCAGAGAGCAATCCGGTGACCTAACCGTATGTCACTTCTGTCTTTACGGGTTGATGCTAAATAAACCTTTCTGAATCGATTACAATATCGCAGCAGTTTCGTGTGATGTCACCACCAGGAAAGCTTTTTCTAGTTGCTTACTTTTTACATTGTGCACCGTGACGGGAAGAAAAGCAGGACAAAATCCTATAATCTCAAACCTACTGTTCCTCTATGGCAATCAACAATGTGAGCTCTAGGTCCTTGAGTGATAAGCCACATAGAGCCCTAACAAGATGAGCGCAGTCTGGAGTCGGAAGATAATAACAGCGTTTCCAAACGTCTATATTGGGACCCCCGTTTTGTAATGGCGGTGCTGCCTATACACGATGGCGGGTGGTTTCCTGATATTTGAATATTATTGCCTTTGCAAGTTCTATTTTCATTTTTTCTCATGGTATATTGATTATTCTCATAGGGTGTTGTACCGGAGTGGATCGAATTCAGCTCAATAAGCTCCATGTGTTAGGGCACGTTTTACACGTTTCTAACGGTCGCCTACCGCACCGCTCCTTATTTGCAGTGGTCGCTGCAGACTGGAAAAAGCCACATGGAGACTAGGCGTGAAGCATTTCATAAAGCTAATAAGAAAAGTAGGTGTCTGTAGTCTTCCGGGTTGGGGTCGAAAAGACTCCGTAAGTCGATGGTTTGAAGTACTGAAAGTCATGACTGCAAACCGATAGCAATGGTGCTCTTGCTGTTACCTCTTATCAGACCAGAATGCTTGCAAATGTGTGTATGCACAGTTTATCTGTGTGCTATGTGTTGATTATTAGAGTTTACTTTCTCCTCTTCCCCCAAAATCAGCACCATCCCTATCCATCCCACGCATTCCCACTTATCTTGTATGCATTATGAGTTTGACAGGGTCAGTGAAGTTCGCTTTACTGTGTTCCACTGCACGATGTTAGCGATGCTTTTGATCGTTACATTTAGAAGGATACCTGTTTGTTACACTGACAGGTTCACTTGATTCACCCACTTACTCACTTTCCTGCCTTTGTGCAGCCAGATTTTTGTATTTTTATCTATTAACTTGCCTGTAGTTTATTTTCTGCGGGTCTCAGGCACCATATATAAAAAAGCTGGCAGTATATATATATATATATATATATATACATATATATATATATCTTTTCTCAGGTATCACATGGCGAAGCTTCACTTTTCAGATGCACCTACTAAAACATAAATTCTCTTTGACCTTTGTGTGTTATTTAGTATTTAGGATGTTCACCTAACATAGATGAATAAGGGTTAGTGATTGAAAATTAAATAATAGAACCACTGCTCAAGCAGAAAAACTATCATTCTTACCACATCACGTTCCCTGACGTTTCTGTCATTCCCAAATCACCTAGGTGGTTTTCAAGCCATATCCTTTATGCCCGGCATTGCTGCCCCGGTGGGCATGGGAACTGTGGTCCCGGCTGCAGACAACACGGAAATGCTCCAAGTGCTTGATCGCCTCATTCTGTACTTGCGAATAGTCCACTCCGTTGACTTTTACGCACCTGCATTGTATGTGAACGAGGATGCGATGCCTCATCCATGCCTGCTGTTGCACGTGCGTCCGAGCAAATCCCAAACGAACAAAGCCCTGGCTCGCTTTGTACCTCAGGGGACCGAACAACCG